TTCTCTCATGGTATGACAAGTACTTTCATCTGCACACATTGAAATCCCCATATAGTGTAGGTTTAGTCCTGTAAGAGAATGAAAATCTGGAAAGAGTACCGGGACTACTACTCAAGCTCACCCTGCCAACTGACTGATTCTTTGACCACCTCGGGCAGGTTCCTACATCAGTTGGTCATGGCCCTGGGGCCTTCTGTTTTTGTAATGAGGGTTTTATTGGACTGCACATTGCTTCACAAATGTTACAGCCAGGGGCAGCTGCTGGGTTCTGTCCAGATCTTACTGTGCTGCCTTGGGGACAGGAGAACCTGAGTGAGCTCTAGAAGAACATGTCAGCAAAATCATTCCTGTTTCTTTCTATGTGATTAGATTAAGAATAATGTAAGAAAGGATGCAAGAGGTAAGATGGTGTTTTTCAGTCTGCTTCTGGTCAGAGTAGCCAGCGTTTGCCCCATACCCACTGAAAACAAAGAGGTGGGTAAAGATAACTTTTTAAAGAAACTTTACAGAGTGTGTGCTCAATACTAGTTCCGTGACCCATTTCCAGTGATAAGCAGCTCCCGATCATTACTGGTGATTTTGCTGTCATGTGATTTCTCAGTCCTAATATTACCTGCATCTTTATCCCAGAACAGTCCAGCATGATCCTCCTCTGGGACACCACAAATCTCAAGACACCTCTTTTTCACTTTATCCCACCCCAAGAAGTCCAGGGTGCAATGCTGGAAGTGCAGCCTTGCTGTCTAGCCTGGCTCAGGCAATGACAAGCCTATGCCTGACCAGGAAACTACAGTGTTGGATTTGGTGTGTGAGCTCCGGCTCAAAAATTATTTAATCTGAATTAACAATCTTGTGTAGTTTTCATTCTCTGCACTGACAGCCCAACAGCATTAGGAATATATGTGTATCTTCTTCACCTCTAGGATCCAAGAAGCCTGTGTGTAGGGAGATGGATAAGAGGGCCCCTTTTCACCACTAGCCCATCCAAAAACAACTTGCAGGGAGGGGGTTTCTTCAAGAGTAAGAAATAAATGAGCTCAGAACCATGAGTCTGAACATTATAAACCAAGACGAGAAAACCAACATCGTTAGTAAAGGACACTAAATTGAAAAAGGAAGCAGACACATCCCTTCCTAGGAACTCCAGGAAAGGAAGGTGTGTCATTCTAATAGGAAGGACACCTGGGCATCTGTAGGCAGGTCTCTGCACATGCACTCTGGTCCCCAGGGACAGTGGATCAAGAGGTATTGGGGAGCTTTGTCTTTTCTGCAGAACACCAGCTATAGGGTGTATTGGTTATTTATATTGCTGAGTAGTTCTGCATTGTACGATGTAAACACATTTTGTTTACTCACATCTAGAAAGAAAACTGCTGTTGAATGGTATATTTCCTTTCAAACATTGGAAGAAACCAGCAAACTGTTTTCCAAAGTGGCTATACCATCTTGCATCCCCACTTTCAAAGTGTGAAAGTTTTATACACCCTCACAGATACTTGATATTTTTCAGCTTCTTAACTTTAGTTATTCTTGTGTTTGGTTGAGTTCTAGTATTTCATTGTGGATTTAATTTGCATTTCTATTACAAATAATAGACATTTGTGTATCTTCTTTGGTGGAGTTTCTGTTCTAGTCCGCCACCACCACCCTTATTTTTTCAGTTGGATTGTCTGTCCCATTATTGAGTTGTAGGAGTTTTGGATACAACCCCTTTTCCAGAAATGCTTCATAAACATTTTTGCCCAGTGTTGGTTTTTTCCCCCTTTGGTACTAGGAATTGAACTCAAGGGCACTATGCTCCTGAGCCATATCCCAGCCCTTTTTATTTTTTGAGACAGGGTCTCACTAAGTTTCTTTTTTTTTTTTTTTTTTTTTTTAGAGAGAGAATTTTTAATATTTATTTTTTTAGTTTTCGGCGGACACAACATCTTTGTTTGTAATGTGGTGCTGAGGATCGAACCCGGGCCGCACGCATGCCAGGCGAGCGCGCTACCGCTTGAGCCACATCCCCAGCCGTCACTAAGTTTCTTTAGGCCTTACTAAGTTACTAAGGCTGACCGTGAACTTGCAGTCCTCCTGCCTCAGCCTACAGGTGTGTACCACTGCACCCAGCCCAGTGTATTTCTTAATGGTGTCTTTTGAAGAGTAAAGATTTTTAATTTTGATAAGGTTAAGATCACAATTTTTTTCATTTATGATTTGTATTTCTGGTATCACAGCTAGGGTAATCTTTGGCTAACCCAAGGTAATGAAGATTTACCTTGGTACCTTCTGGAAGTTTTACAATTGTCATAGCTGTAGCTCTTGAATTTAGGTTTATGATCTCTTTCAATTTAATTTTTGTGTATGCACTGAAAGAAGGTTCAGGAGTGTGTGTGTGTTTATGATCATTCTAATACCACTGGTTTTAAAATCTATACTTTCCAATTAAATTATCTTGGCACTTTTGTCAAAATCAGTTGACCACACACGTGGGTCAACTTCTGAACTCTGTTTTCCGTTTACCAACATGCCTATGTTAATATTAACTGACTTGGTTACTGAAACTCACATGAACGAATGATGTCCAGATTGACTTAACCTTTCCCACCCTCGCTCATTGGACAGAGGCAGCAGCCACTGGGTGGGTCATCAGGAATCTAGGTGAGCATCCCCTGCTTGCCAAACATTGTCCAGCTGTGAAGACATCTGTCATTTCCTACAACTGTTCATCTGCTTTGGGGGCCTGATCTTATGATTTCTATATTCTAGGAGAGGTCATTGCAAAAGGCATTTTTCTTCCCTTTTGAGAGAAGGAAATTAAGGCTATTGCCTCAGCCAAGAATTAACTTTATTGTTTATCTACTTGGTGGAAGTAGGAGACACAAAATAAAATCATGGCATTTGCAGGTAAATGGGTGGCATTGGAGAAGATAATGCTAAGTGAAGTTAGCCAATCTCCAAAAAACAAATGCAGAATGTTTTCTCTGATATAAGGGATGCTGATTCATAGTGGGGTAGGGAGGGGGAGCATGAGAGGAATAGGTGAATTCTAGATAGGGAAGAGGGGTGGGAGGGAAAGGGAGAGGGCAGGGGATTAGCAAGGATGGTGGAATGTGATGGACATCATTATCCAAAGTACATGTATGAAGACACGGATTGGTTATCAACATACTTTATATACAGAGATATGAAAAATCGTGGTATATATGTGTAATAAAAATTGTAATGCAAAAAAAGTACATGTATAAAGACATGAATTGGCGTGAACATACTTTATATAAAAAGATATGAAAAATTTTGCTCTATATGTGTAATAAGAATTGTAATGCATTCTGCTGTTGTGTATTTAAAAAAATAAAATCAAATTTAAAAAACCAAAAGAATATAAAAAATTTTTTCTCTCATTATTTTAAGTATTAATTTTAAAATCTTGCAAATGAGATTTTTATCAGAGAGCTCTTGATGTTAGTTGATTAATACTAGTTATTTTGAAAGAGAAGAAATTTTAACCTATCTGCAGAAATTAAGGAATATTTTAAAACATCACCATGGTATTCCTTGGAGACTCATGTTCTTAATTGACAACATCAATCAAGGAGAACACAGGCAAATAAATATTTGAAATTATATCTAGAATATGTATTTTACCCTTAAAAAAAAATTATGTCTTTAAAGTTCTTTTAGAAATAACCATGTAGTAGTCTTAGCAACCAATACTAACTGCTTTCTCAATCATCACATCTTTAGAATAGTTCTTGACCTCAAAGTATGTCTTCCAGGTTCTTCCTCAGGAATGTGTCTGTTCCTTTTGACCTTTTCATTTTAATTAGAATCAGCTGGACGAGTTGCACAAGCATGCATACTGGGATTTTGGTAATGACTGCATAACATGTTGATAAATTTGGAAAAAAAAATTGACAGCTTTGAAATGTTTGCCAATGTACAAACTTGGTTTGTTTCTTCATTAGATATCATTAAGCTTTTAAAACATTGCTATAAATTGTGTTCTCATATATTTTTGGTATATATTTATTTCTATATATTTGACATTGCATTATAAGTTGTGTCTTTATTGAAATTTTGTTTTCTATTTGTGGCTAGAATTTATAAGTGATGTTGAGATTTGCCTGTTGACATTTGACAGGCTTGCTAAACTCAAATTCCAGTAATTCCACTGTAGATTGCCTACAGTTCCAGGAGTCAGCAAACTATGACCTCCAGGCCAGATCCAACTCACAGCCTGTTTTCACAGGCCAAGAATAGTTCTTAACCTTTTAATAAATGATTGTAAATGCCCAAAAGCAAGGAACAGTCTCCAGAAACAGTGAGTGGCCTGCTCAGTCTAAAATATTTATTATCTGGCCCTTTACAGAAAGTTTGCTAGCCTGGCACAGCACAATCATCATCATCTGTGAATAGTGCAGTTTTTAGTTCTTCTGTTTTATTTATTTTCTTTCTTTTACCACATTAGCTAAAATCTCCAGTGTAAAGTAAGAAAGAAACAGTGGTAGCTGAGAGTTTTAAATTCTTCCCTATCTCAAAAGATAAGCTCAATTTCTTAAGTATATTATTTTTTTTTAATTTTCTATAGCTTTTATCGGACTAAAAATTCCATTCTTTCATAATATTTAAGAACTTTGATCATAAAATTACAAAGAAACAAGACAATCAAGAAGTTCACCTTGAAATTGTCACAGGTAATAGACACAAAGGGAGGGGATTTGTACAAATTCTCCTAAGAAGTTCCTAAGACAGAACCTGTTTCTTCATTCCAGCAGTTTCTGTATTTTCTACTTTTAATCAATGTGAAACCGATACATTTTCTATCACTCAAAATTCTTTCCCTTTGCTACAGTTAAAATCTGTATGAGTAGTTTCTTCAAACTGTTATAATGACCTTTTCAAGCTCAGTGTCAAAAAGCATGTGAAAAAGTATGTTGACAAGTGCAAAACCTGAGCTCAACAGCAGAAACAAGGGAGAAATCCCTTTGTTCATTAACTTACTCGTGTCAGACCCGTTGAACACAAACTGAGACTCTTGCAAGTCAACAAAATTACTTTCATGTTATGTTTTTCTCTGTAGATACTTTATTATTCAAATAATCTGAAATATATTTAAAGTTGCTTTAGTATTAAGTTACATCTTGTAAGTTCACGAGTTGTGAATCCGATTGCCTGTGCCACTTCTAACATGATTCAAAAGAGACACATTTTGAAAGACAAGTTGTTTTATTTAGTCCCATTTTAATGTCCCCTTAAAAAGTTTGACTGTTGACTCTGGATATTCAGCTAAGAGAGTCGTATCAAAAACCTGCTTGAATTTATCTAAGAATTCATAATCTGTGCTGAACCTGAACTTGTTTGCCCAAAGTACCACGGTCCCCTGCTGGGAAAGGTGCACCATGGTGAGGAGCAGCTTGTCCAGGAAGTAATGGTGGTACACCACGTCAGAGGCCAAGACATAGTCGTAATGCAGGGCTGCCCTGGGGAAGTTCTGCTCCAGGTCTTGCCCCCACACCAGTTCCTTCACTTCAGGCAGATGTGCTGTGCATTTCAGGGTATTTTTTAAGAGATTGTACTGAAGGTTTCCCAGGACATCAGGTAAATCCGTTGCTGTGACTTGAGCTCCTAAATGAGAGAGAGATGGTAACAATCACCTGGAAACTTTCGGGCGGCCAGAGTACTGATACACTCCGGGAGATCATAAGAGAACCAGGCCCCTCGGCCTGCGCTTGCCATAGCTCAGGCTGGACAGTTCTTTCTTGTGTGTGGGCCCATTCTGAACACAGCAAGGTGATTAGTAGGCTCCCCAGTCTATCCCTCCCCCGCCCCCAGATGTCAGTAACTGCAAACCCTCCACCCCACTCCTGAGGTGAAGACCTCCAGGGCTCAGAGTCACCTCTGGACTCTCAACTTAGTCACTTTGAAAACAAGGTGAGCTCGAGGAGTTGCTCAGCCTCTCCAGGACTCGGTCATCTCTGCAGGTGACAGTCACGATTCCTGGCGCATGGCATTTTGGGGAGATACAGTGAGTGAAATTGTGGCCAAGCTCCTACCACAGCCTGCCTGGCACACAAAAAGCACTCTGTCATTGTCACCGTGAAGGTCTTTTACAACACAATCAGGAAGAAAGGAAGGAACAAACCTAGAATACTGGCCACGATGGAAACAAGGCCTGGTCCAGCACCAATTTCCAGGATTTTGGCATCTTGGAGATTCAACTCCTCTTGATGTTCTTCCAAATACTGGCACAAAGCTGTAGCCTAAAACACAGGAACAACCAGGACTTTCACCTGAGAACTGGAACACTGGACACCAGGAGCAACCCCTCTACCCTCAGAGTTAAAGACTGAAAGACATTATTTTCTATTTATTGAAGGGTTCAAAAGAACCAAAATCTCATTCAATGCCATATTTAGACCCCTGGAACATAAAAGTTATAATAAATTGCATGTCACAAACTGGAGAAACAAATTCATTAAATTGACTATACTAGCTATGACCAATTCCCCCCTCCCAAAAAAAAAGCAGGGGGTGGAGATCTGTAGATTAGCTCAGCTCTTACAAATTGGGGAGATGTAGCTAAACAGCGACTTCTTCCCCTGATTTCATCATTTTGGGCCTGCAGCTGCATTTAGAGTGTTGTATAAACTTGAAAACTTCTCTTCCCAATCAATCAAAATTCAGCTTCGTTAGGACTGTGCTATCTTGGACAACTGGGTAGTTTCTTGGGTTCTTGTTTTCTTAAATGGTTCATCAAAGAAACAGACTATCAGAACAGCGCTTCTCCAAGATGGAGATTCCTTGGAAAACTGGGAATGGAACCACCATTTGACCCAGATATCCCTCTCCTCGGTCTATACCCAAAGTATAGAAGGCTTAAAAACAGCATACTTACAGGGATACAGCCACATCAATGTTTACAGCAGCACAGTTCACAATAGCTAAACTGTGGAACCAACCTAGATGCCCCTCAGTAGATGAATGGATAAAGAAAATGTGGCATATATACACAATGGAATATTATTCAGCATTAAAAGAGAATAAAATCATGGCATTTGCAGGTAAATGGATGGAGTTGGATAATATTGAAATTAGCCAATTCCAAAAAAACAAATGCCAAATGTTTTATCAGATATAAGGAGGCTGATTCATAGTGGGGTTGGGAGAGGGAACATGGGAGGATTAGATCAACTCTAGATAAGGTAAAGGGATGGGAGGGGAGGGAAGGGGGCATAGGGGTATAAAAGATGGTGGGATGAGATGGACATCATTACCCTAAGTACATTTAAAAAGATGTGAATGGTGTAAATATACTTTGTGTACAACCAGCGATATGAAAAATTGTGCTCTATATGTATAATATGAATTGTAATGCATTCCACTGTTATATATAACAAATAAGGATTTAAAAAAAAAAAAGAACAGTGCTTCTCAAACTTTAGTGTGCCAACAAATGCCCCGGGGTAGCTTATTAAAGATGCAGATCCTTCTCTTGTAGCTCTGTCTCAAAATTCCGCATGTCTAGAGAAGCTCCCAGTGAAGCCAGCCTGCTGGCCTGCTGACCACACTCTGAGTATGGACAAGTTGTTCATTATACATGAAACCAACCATCTCTCTCCTTTATTCATTCTATTCTGTCTCTACCTTGTCCTGACATTTCTGGGTTTTTTTTTTTAATTTTTAATATTTATTTTTCAGTTTTCAGCGGACACAACATCCCTGTTTGTATGTGGTGCTGAGGATCAAACCCGGGCCGCACGCGTGCCAGGCGAGCGTGCCACTGCTTGAGCCACATCCCCAGCCCCGTCCTGACATTTCTGGAAAGAGAAAATGAATGTTCGATTTGCATTGCTTCTCCAGGCTTTATTTATGTAAAGGAAGTGTCCACTAGCAATGCCCTGGGCTAGAGAGAACAAGAACAACTGTGCATAAGAAAGTTATTTAAGTAGCCTAGCGCTGGGGAAGGAACATTGAGATGAAAAACTATTGAGCTCTATAATTGGTTTTTATGTTTTGGCCCCAGATATAGATATGCTCTTCTGCCTCTGGACTCCAGGTTCTAGTCTAGGTTGGGCAGGGTGATTCCAGACCTGCCACTTATGATTGCCAGTAACAAGGCTAGTACTGCAGATTTTACCCCATAAGTCACTTTACTTCATCCTCATGTGTGCATAGGGAATGGACACATGCAAATATGAATATCACCTTTTTCTCTACTGCCAAGGTATTTGGTGGCAGAGCTAGAGGTAAGCAAACCAATTATAAACTAATTGCAATGATTTCAGGGAGATAGATATATACCAGGTTGGGGGCAGCACATGATAGAGGCTGCTGGGAGTCAGGGCTGCATTCTGGGTGCCAGGGAGAGGTGAGCCAAGTGTGGAAAGATGAGGGGGCGGGGCACTCCAGGTGAGGCCACCTGGTGAGACAATGGTGTCAAATAGCACCAACCTGCAGCACTTGGCAAGGCACTCAGAGTTGAGAAGGGGAGTTTTGAGGAAGGAGTTGAGTTTTTCTGTGAGGGCATTCAATAAAAGGAGAGTGTCACTGGCATGGCCAGAGGACACATGCTGCCCTGTCCTCCAGGAGGGTCTGGCCCCAGTCAGGGGTCATCTGGAGATAAAAGCCTTCTCAGGAACAGCTACAACTTTTGACATGACAAACATCCATCCCTCTTAGCCCTGTGAGCAAACTCTAAAAGGAGCTCCTTCACAGATTCCGCCCCTGCAGGCACCCAGAGGGTCTTCCCACTTGACATGCGATTCTCCTAAAGCTTTCAGGGGATCCCAAGAGAGGTGGGTTTGGGTGCATAAATGGCTGAGGCCTTAGCGTAAAACAACTGAGTGGACAAATGTGCCGTTTCCATTCCTAATCTGTTACCACCGCTCTGGTTGTCTATTTGCTAAATGCATTAGAATAGGAAGCTTCGGAAGGCATTAGGTATTATCAAACTTATTAAAGCAAAAGAAAGCCTTTGTTTGAAGAGAATCATACTCATGAATAAGGTTCTGCTTAGAAGGGAGCAGAACCCTAAAAACCGGGGACCCTTTGGCTCCTCTTCTCCCAGTTCACTTGCTACCACTTCCCAGGACTGCCTGGACAGCTCCTGAGAACCTCTTGTCATGAACTTCTGCTCGAGATCCTGGACCAGGAGATGTGCCTCACTGGGGAGTTTTTAAGACATGCAGGACCACAGACATGCACACACTCACACCATTCCACACCTGAATCACAGTCTGCATTTAATAAGATCTCAGTGTGACTCAGAACCTAAAGGCTGAGAAGTTCTGCTCTGGAGCCTTTCTAAGCTCAGGCTGACAGCCTTTAGGTGGAAAGAGCCATGTGTGCCCAGGAGAATGGTTTTATCATCAAGCCAAGGAAGCTTTCTGAACTCCCTTGTCCTTAGTCAGGAGGTGAGAATAGTGTTGCATTAATAATTACAATTAATGTAGGCTTACGTGTAGCCCTGCATTTGTTATAACCATGTCAGGAACTAGACATTACCTCTACTCCAGGTTTCAAATGTGGAAATGGAGGCAATTGGAGGTGAGCACCTGGGCCCCTGCAGCTTGAAAATGGCAGGTTTTCCTCCATTCTTGCACCATCCTTGCTGGGCCGTCACAGGGGTGACATCAGGTGGAATAATACCTCCTAAATATTTCTGTGAAAATGTCCATCAAGTCAAGGAGGTATGGATGGCCAAGAGCCAGTGGGTGTGACCCAAAGGTGCCTATTGCAAAGTCTAAACTCTAAATTCCTGATATTCTTTTTTTTTTTTTTTTTACTTAGCAATTGTATTCATGCTGCATTCTATTTCCCAATAAGGTCAGGTTTATTTAACATAAAAATATTGTTTAAGGAACATCGCTTAAAGCAAAACCAATGCTTCCGAAGGAAATGCTATGCTTCTTTGGGGTCCAAGCACACCACCAGCATCTCTGGGGGACCAGGTAATCCATCCTCAACTAGAGAAGCACAAGAGATAGAAGTAGGTGGCCACCTGCCCACAGCAACACAGATGTACAAAACTGTCACCTTCAGAAAGACTAAGGGCACAAACGTCACCATGCGCTCACCGCTGGCCACACCACGGCTCCATAGCTCTCTATCGACTCTTGGATGACGATCTTCTTGCCGGCAAACTGGTAATGCTCCTGAGTGTAGCTGGCATAATCTGTCGGAACGAATTTCTGGAGGCTACGAAGAGACGATTCTATGTTGTTAGCGTCTGTGAAGCACAAAAATAAGACAGGCTTCGTGCTCCATCGATCCGGGGTGAACCTACACTGGGTAAGACTGAGGAGACCAGCAATCTTTCCCCAAGTGGGGCAGTGCCATCAACCAGTGTCTGCAATTAACACCAAACTGTGTTCTATGAGGGGATGGGACACAAGGTTCAGATGTGACCTTTTCATCATGCAGCAAAATACTGAAGGAGGCCCTTGGCTTCTCCCTTCTGCTGAAGAGGTGAAGACCATCCCCAACCTGTGTTCTGGGTCAGGAGAAAGCGAAATTATCAGGAAAATGGCACCTGAGAGCAGACTCTCTGCAATTAAGGAGGATCTAGGTGAACACGAACCCGGCTATTTTTAGATCTTGACCTGAAGTAACATTCCCACACGCTGACTGCCGCGAGCTCCCAAAATCCTTCCCGCAACTGCCCCTCAAAAGGCACAGGCCATAGAGTGGGGCGGCTGTCATATGAGACCTGGCTATTAAGTTACTAAGGCTTTAAATACTCCTTTAACCCCCATGACCCGCGATAGCAGCTCTCGAATAGCAGATAAAATGAGGGGAAGAGCGCCTGACGGGGCTGACATCACAGAATCGCAGATGGTTAAGGGTTTCCCAGAAGGTTTCAGAGTAAAAGAGCCGCGGGTATAAGTGTCAGGAGGGAGGATGCTGAGCGCATGCGCACTCAGGGACCCTGCCTGGTGGGGGCGGAGGGGGGCTGTGGACGCTGGGAAGGGATTAGCAGGGAGGAGTTTCCTAGCCCAGGGACTGGTTTTATCTGCAGGAAAGTTGCCTTGTTGCCTGGGATACGATACAAGATCTTTAACCAGCAGTGAAATGTGGGCTTGGGAGAAGAGCTGTCGGTTAACATTTGAAGCGCCCTCATCAGAAGTAGCCACTCAAGGTGGAAGAGGGAGATGTGGATACCAGGAAAGTGAGCCTTGGAAGAAAGCTGATCTGCAGGCCGCCCCTCGCAGGCAGGTCCCACAGCTATTTCCGACATCACTGATTTCAGAGTGCACCCGAGTGGCTCTATGCTGGGAGGCTGACCCATCAGTACGGGAATGTGGAGTGAGCATTAGAAATACCAGTTGATGATGTCCGTTGAGGATAATTATGAAGAAAGGGCCCAGAAACGTCTATGTAGGTTTCATTTCTTTTTGTCCTTTTCCATTGTACTTTACTGAAGTATCATTTGCAGTATCTTAGGAGATGATCCTTGAACACGGGTGAAGTGAGTCGTTTGAAAATGAGCAGAGAATGCCCTGAGCTCTGCCCAGTGTTGCTCATGGTCATGGCTCTCCTTTGTGTGTTCTGCCACTTGGAAGAGGAATCTCAAAAAGGTGAGCTTCCCTGAGCTGGTAGGTGCCTGGCAATAAATAGCCAATGTGGCCTGAGACTGGGCTCTTTGCTGTCACATGCCCTCCTGTCAGGGGTGGTCAGAGGCTGCCAGGTAAGGAGGAGACTTTCGGCCTTCACTTGCCTCTGTCATAGGAGGCGATGCACACTGAACAAAACCAGCCCGGCACTTCTGAGTGACCCAGGAGGGCCAGCTCCTCACCCACGGGCTGAGAGGCAGAAGCCAGGACAGGCCGCCTGTGCTGAAGCAGGTGGAGCAGCCACTTGTGAGAGACGGAAAAAGCCCTGATTTGTAGTGTCTGGCAAAGGCCCTGGTGCAAATACTCCCACCGTGGCGAGTCCCAACTTCTGCCACTTGAGGGGAAATACAGGCAGCCACACACTGCCCAGCGATATTGCCTGCACACAGACCAGCCCCCAGAAACCACCTCAAGAGCATGGCTGAGAGTGAACTGGAGTAAAGTAACTGCTGAGGAGCTTTGAGCATTTATTGTTTTGGCTTCTTAATAGACAATTGCCTTTAATATAATCTATTGAATTCTAAGTCTATATATTCTAAATTTTAATATGGCATGTTCCGCAACCAGAATTCCTGAAATTCAATGCCATCTCCAGCATGCCGCTGGGGTGGGAGACTGACAGCAGCCAGCACCTGCCAGCCCCTGCGCCCCTGCCCTCTGCTCAGGTGCACCTTCCTCCCTTCCTCCCAAGGACGGCCTGTTGGGGACTTATCTTTCTCTCAGAACTGTAGGAAAAGTTGGTGGATTGATTTTGCATAGCTCATCCCTTCACAAGTAAGTAAACTGACAAAGAATGAGCTTAACGGTGTACTTTTCTGATCAACATTATTAAGAAACACTGGCTTACAAATGTTTTCCCATAAGACCCCCTGAAGTTCTACAAACACAGAAAATTGTATGACTACAGCACTTTAAATATTTTCATCTATTTTGTCTATGCTAGCCTGCTAGTTCAGAGGTCAGATCTGAGAGAGAAGGTAGAGTTGCATTTTTATGTAAATGAGTCAGTAAAAATAAATAACATGCTCATTTAGTAGAGTTAAGACATATTTGTACTCTATAAATGATTGTGTTTTAAATGGCGCTTATGATACCATTTTTATGTCTGTTATTTATGTATTTCTGAAGCTGTGCCCAGAAATGCAGCTACACTGCCACTCTGCTGTCCTAGTGGAGAAATGCACCGTGATTGACAAGGGTCCATCACACTGCTGGAATGCATTTCGGCAAAGAACAAACTATATTTTAAAGTTCTTGTTACAAACATATGGCACTCTCAGATTTAAATACAAGATAAAACAAAGTTGCAGACTTGATAAAGCGAATGAGAAAATCGGGGTGATGTTTCAGTCTACACACAAAGGCGTTGTCAACCATGCTTCATTGTGGTAAGAATTTAGAGTTAAAAGGAAATGGAAATTCTTGCGGCCGAAGTTAACTTGAAAATGTCATCGTTAGGAAAGCAACTGAGGAAAGCTGTGGCAGTGAAGAAAAGGAGTTTACCTCCTGGGGGTCCCCCGGTGCCATCTTCCTGGAGAGCCGCCTCCTCCTCCTCCAACCAGCCACCTGGGGAGTTCGGTGCCTCTCCCAGGCACAGGGACTGCTGCGCAGAGCTGAGACACACGTCCATAGCTGGAGCCTGCTGGGAGGAAAGAACTGGACAAGACCCATGTCACTTGGCCCAAGGAAAGTCTGACTCTCCCTGAAGGATCCAAAGAGTGTAGCTTATCGCCTTAGCATGTGCTGAGCCGAAAAGAGCGACTGCTTTTCAGCTTTGTTCCCTGGGAGAGCCAGGAGCCACCCAAGGAACTGCCATTTGGCTTTGCAGAGCAAGGTACAGAGAGAACATGAAACACAACCGAGTCCACACATGGAGAAACGCAAACTCAGAGCAGGTGTAGCCCGGGAACAAGACTGTCACTTGGGGCTAGAGCAAGGTTTGGTTATTTTGCAACCTTTGCCATTCTCTAGTGTCACCCAGTGTTGTAACACATCACTAAGTTCTGGGGATCTAAAATGCATTTCCAATAACTTTTGGATCTGAATTCCAATAAAGAAGACCTGCCCCGCTTTGCATACCATTGGGGATAATAAAGGGTAATGGCATCATGGCCGAGGAGCCAAGCCAGGGTTTGGAGCAAGCGCCAGGCTGCTCTACTTTCATCTGAGGCTCCGCTGGAAGACGGTAGAGAGCACTGGGCTGCAAGCCAGGAACCTGGCCTGGCTCCCCACTCTTCACACTTGGCAAGCCACCTAATCCCCTCAGCACCCATTTCCTCACCAGCAGAAAGGGGATGACAGCATCTGCCCTGCTCATGGGGCAATGGTGAGAGACAGAAGAGCCAAAGTGATTGTAAACCACTGAGAACTCCGCCTGCCTGGGCACAGGAGACCTGGCTATGGCATCAACGCAGAAATGCCCAAGGCAGCCTGAGGACCACCGTGCTCACCACTGCCCAGCACAGGGCTGTAGTGCTCTGTGTGTACCTTCTCAACAACCCCCTGAATCAGGCACTGTTGTTACATCCTGTCTCAGGTGGGGAATCCAGACAGGGAGAAATTGAAAAGCAGCCCAAGAGCAGCTGCAGGTGGCCAGTGACAGGGCCCTGAGGCAGAGCAGGAGCCCATCTGCAGACCCTGCCTGGTGCCCACCAGTCAGCGCAGCCCAAGCTGCCTGGGTTCAGCCTTAGTGTTCCTTGTCTCGTTTGCCCTGAAATTACTTGCAACACTTGGCTGGCCTCCATGCTGTGACAGTGACAGCCCTGGTCTTTCCCACAAAACATAAATGCTTTTCCTTACCCATTTTTACCATCTGGGTTTATTCTACACACGCTGCTGTATCCTATTGTCTCAGCCAGTAGAGGATGGCAACCAGACACCCAACCCACCCATGACTACCGAGCCAGCTATTAAGGTGAGGAGTTGACCAGTGAACAGGCACACAGAGAAGGACCCCAGCCCTGTGCAGCATCTGGAATTCCATCCCACACCCTGACAGGGGGCCTGCCCCTCTCACCTCCAGGCATCAGAATCACACAGGAAGTAGGCTGTGGTGCAGGTAATGTGATGTTTTCACTGACTCTAGAATCAGCCAGTCAAACATTCACCCCCGTTCTCTAACTCACTCACCAGTGGAAACTGTTCTACCAGTCTGTGTTACGCAGGAGTTTTTTTCTCTTGCAGATACTTGCTCCTTCTTTTCCACTTCCCCACAATTTCAGGAAGTTAATGGTTCTGCCTAAAAAATAGCAGACTGGCTACTGAAAAGTACACAGTAGGTCCTGAGTGCACACCTCTCAGCTCTGGTGAGAAGCCTGCATCTGGCGGCTCCACCATAAGTGATCTGCGTTGAAAGCGCAGATAATGTCCCCCCTCCTAGGAGGGCTCTGGGTATTGAGAGCCGTAACCCACCAAGCCTCTCTCACACACAATATCAACTGCTAGCGTCATCTCCAGGCTTCAGAGGAGACCGCAGTGTGACACTGCATGTGGAATTCCCACATGTCACCCTGAGATGCAGCACATTAAGTTCAAGACATTTCTGCATCTGGCACACAAGAGAAGAAGAGCTGTTTCCAGTCAAATACCTGCTATACTTTTCCTTGTGAGACAAAGTCACTCCTTCCCTGTCATTATAGCTGACATGACAGATTCCCTCCCAAAAGACAGCAGTACATTGAAAAACACGCTAGAAAAATAAGTTAATCTACTTAGTGTCTACACTGTACATTCATGTATTTTAAAGATTTGGACAGTTTTTTTAAAAAAAAGATTATTTGTTAGTACCCCTCAAAATGATTTCTGTTAGATATGCCTTTACCTTATGGAGCAGAAGAGATTTGAGGTTTCTGGGCACCCTTTAATCATGATGTTTATATAGATCTGTCCTGAAAGGATTAACTTTTCATGAACAACAGCCAGCCAGTGGAAGCTCAAGTTATTTAGGGGAGCATTACCCGCCACTACGCAGAGGCACATTGCTTTGCTATATTCTCTCTCATGCTCTCTCTTCCCCAACACACATACACACACACACACACACACACACACACACACACACACATGGGAGGGGGGGAGAGAGAGAGAGACCTTGCAACATGAAATGGAATTTCCCTCAAAGGATCCATAAATATGGGGCTGGGGTTATCTTTCAGCGGTAGAGCGCTTGCCTCGCATGTGCAAGGCCCTGGGTTCGATCCTCAGCACCACATAAAAATAAACAAAAGTTATTGTGTACAGCTACCAAAAAATAAACATTAAAAAAATCCATGAATATAACTCCAGCAGAACAGAGGCTTCCGGGAGGGTGCCCAGCTGCTGTGGTGTAGTTTCAAGGTGGACTTCCATTTCACTTTTAAAAGAAGTGGCGGTGTGGCAGCTGGGGTCTTTACCCACTTACAAACTTTGTGCTCATCATCCAGACTCCTTGAGGCTCAAGGGAGGGGAGTGTCTGCTGCAGACTCTGCCCAGGACCCGATCAGGGCAGCCAGAAATAACATGAGCCTCTACCCAGAGGAAAGGAAGATGTTGGTGAGGAAGAAAGGAGGACATCTATCCATTAGAAGGGACTTGAGTCAAAGGCTTAGAGTTGCATCTGGGCTGTTTCAGAGGGGCAGCAGGAATAGGATATCAGAAATACTCACCCCCCAAAAAGGAGCAAGCCACTGTGATTTACTTAATGAAATAAGGGACAGCTAAAGGAAGGAATAAAATTACATGCTCCTTAATAGAGCTCGGAAACCCTTAAAATAGAATATGGGTCATGTAAAGTAAAGCCTCAGGCAAATGGGAATTATCTAATTATACGTAGGGCTCTGTTCAACCAGCAGCTGAATGGATACTGACTTACTCCAACCTTCGCACTCACTTCTCTGCCATTGCTATTTTTTTGCTCTTTATGTCAGTTTCTTGGAACTCGAGAGCTTTGTCTGGATGTGTTGTGGTGCCATAGCTTCGGGGTCTTCTCTCCAGTTCCTTAGGTGCTGGGGAGACCTGGCATTTTCCTGCTCCGCCATCCTACCGCCCTTCTGCTCCCCGTGGGTCCACTTCTGGGATTGCATCCTGCATTCCTGTCACTTATTCCACCAGATGTCATTGTCCCTGTAAGAATAGTTCCCTGGCACGTGTGGTCGCTGCCTTTGTTCTTCAGAGTGAATTTTCCCAGTGCCGGAGCAGCCGGGAAGACACCCAGAGGCCCGGGAGGGGCTGGCGCCGTGCACAGGGCGGGCACACATGAGTTGTTTTCAAATAGTTCAAGTGCCAGCCCATGAGGAGGGATCAAGCCCTCGGCAGGGCTCTGCAGGGCTCTGCGGGGCTCACTGATGAAGTCAGTTACCAGGAGGCGGCATGGGCTCAGTAGGAAAGAACTTTCTAACCAGCACAGCAGTGGAACAATTGATCCCAGCAGGCCCCGCACACTGGAAAGGTGGGCCAGGGCTGCAGTCAGAAGACACAGATGGTGACTGCTTACCTGGGGCTGTCTGGGTGGGGCCGCTCAGCTTCCCTCCTTCAGCACAGATCCTTGTCCCTGCACTTTTTCTGATTAAAGCTGGCTCTCTGGCCCCTGGTTCTCTTGGGGGAATCCTTCCCTCCCTACTGAGGGCATCTTGCATTTTGGGGAGACTTGCTTGTTTGGTTGTCAAAACAGGAGGTGGGGTGCTAAGGGGACCCATGCACAGCAGCTGGGATGCTGATTAACATCCCGAAATGCATAGGTCAAGCCCCAACAAAGAATGACCCGGACAGTAATCAGTAATACTCTCCAACTCTGGGTCATTCTTTGTTGGTCTTGAATGGATGGAGTTGGACAATATTATGCTAAGTGAAGTAAGCCAATCCCCCCAAAAATAAAGGCCGAATGTTTTCTCTGATTAGTGGATGTTGATCTATGATGGGGGAGGGCATGGGAAGAATGGAGGAACTTTGGATTGGGCACAGGGGAGGGTTGGGAGGGGTCATGAGGACAGAAAAGATGGTGGAACGAGGTGGACATCATTACCCTAGGTACAAATGGTGCATCTCTACACTGTGTACAACCAGAGAACTGAAATGTTGCACTCCATTTGGGTACGATGAATTGAAATGCATTCTGCTGTCATGTACAATGAAGTAGAACAAATCAAAATTAAAAACAAAACAAAAAGAAAATAAAATATTACCCGGCCCCAAATGTCAACAGTGCCACGTTCCAGAAGCCCTTGTCCAGACAGTGGACCAGGGCTGTCATGCAGGGTGATGACCATCCTGAGCACTCCACCTACTAGCTGAGTGACCGTGGGTGAGTACCCTGTCTCCTTTGTCCCTCGGGGTCCACGTGTGTAAAATAGAGGTGGACTAGCATTTGCAGGGCACTCAACACATGGCCGATGCTGAGCTACATCTTCCCCACCTTCCTTCCCCAGTCCTACTTAGACTGGTTTCTCTAAGATGCAGATGTGCAGACAGCGATGTGAGCGGGAGCATGTCTGGGAAGTATGAGTAACATGGGCAGAAGGTAGAAGTCACCCGAGGAGACTGCAGCCCGCAAAGGGAGTGCTGAGGAGCCGTGTCCTCAGTGGGCAACTGCACTGGACTATGGGCGGGGGAGCTGGGTAAATCTTGCATTTGACAATCATTCTACTCCCGGTTCTAAGAGCTTCGGGGTCTTTTTACAGAAACACCTCAGACACAAAGAGAGGGGCAGCTGGGTACTCAGATGCGTCTGAGCACTGTGAGGCCAGACGGAGTCTGCGATAGCCCCACCCTTCCTGCAGTCTCAGAGGAGTCAATGAAAGTTTATGTATCTTGAAGCATTTGGTGCCTGGTGCCCATTGCACCCCAAGAAGATCATGGATAAATTAATGTTTTGTATTGTGTCATGTGACTCAAGGAGGTTGAATTCGGAGGGC